CCCCCAAACCCCAATAACTAGCAGAATTAGGTGTTAAGAGAAGTAGACTCCACCAAGAGAGATGGGCATGTTCGATACCAGTTCAACCAACGATGGGCTAATACGATTCACATTCTGCAGCAAATGTGGCTCATCTATGGCATCTAGTATTAGGCTTTATCATATAATTCAAGAATAGGATAACGCTAATAATCCTACTTTAGCAATGAACCTTAAAAATAAAAAACCAATAGTTTTGATACCAATTCAATCAAGAAGTGACAATTTTTTTCCTTTTTTTATAGGAATCAAGAAATGACAGATTAAAAGTTCTATAAGTCACACTACTTTAAGAATGCAAGTGACTTTAAGAATGCAAGTAATACAAAACATAAGGCCAAGAAATTATGTCTAGCATTCAAGCAAAACAATTCCTACAGCAACGATGAAAGCAAAATGCAAATGATTAGGGGTTAAATCACAATGAAAAATACGAGAATAACGATGATCAAACCTGAAGCAATCTTGATTATATGGTGATAAATATTATATTTAATATATGAAGATGAGGTATTATTATTGATGAATACCTAGAAATATTTCAAGCTCACGAGGAATAAATGAAACCAGACAAAATCAAATCTTCTGTGGTAAAAGCAGCTTTYTGAGTGAATAAATGCCCTGGAAAGACAGATTCTATCTGGATGAAATTTTAGAGAAAATTGATTGGAAAAGAGAGGGGAGGATAATACCTGGAGAATGCGACACACAGARTTAGGCCAGCGGATAGGATAAACAACTTGAACAGAAGAAATGGTGCCCGTGAACRAAATAATCCGAGAAGAATCCTTGGTCTCAAATGGCATCTTGAACCTCGTACTGCAGACCACTGGGAGCCTCATGTCTACTCGCAACAATGAGGCCTTCACACAGAATTCCCGCGTTCTCGCACGTGCTTAATAGACCACCTCCAACGCCTGCCCATATGCTGCCAGTTTCACCGCTTTAGTTACTGATTCCGGCCTCACTGTCTCTTTTCACCTTAAATTCCCACCACCACTGAAACTCAAAAACCCGTTTCCACACACACTGAACAATCCAGAAATTGATGTTTGAGAGATTGGACCTCCTYCTTCAACCGCGAGAGTTTGGTCATTGAGAGCCAAAATAACCCCCGCCAAACACACTTTAAACTTTGCTTTGTTCTTCGACTCGTTTAGTCGGATCAATCTTTGCAATTTTGTCTTGCTTTGAAATTTCTCGTCCGAACACGATGGTAAAATCWTCAGAAATCGAACGGCGCCTAGATAAACATGATGGGAAAATCTTCAAAAACCGGCTRTTACCTTGGAGAACGACGGAGACATCTTCAGAACCGGGCGGAGAGAGAGATTGAAGGCTTGGAGACCGACAGAGAGCTCTTCACGCGTTAGAGAAGGAGATGGAAGGGCTAGGTGAACACGAATGAAAAACCCTAGAGAACGCGAGAGAGAGGGATACAAGAGGGCTGCGGGTAAATGAAAGAGAGAGACACTGCGGAGGTGACGCTGATTTTTGGTTAATCGTACTGACTCTTCCATTTAATTCTCTAGTTTCTGGATGTAGTTGTATCTGTATTCTTCTTCACTACAAACCTATTGACGCAAAAGACCTTCGATTATAGCACTCTATATGTAGAAGTACCTTTTTGAAAAATCCAATTCTACGGGCCTTTGTCATCAGCTGTAAATTGTATTGTCTGAATTTGTAATTTTTAATTTGCTTTAATTTGCTTTAAAATTATTTTTTAAGACAGAGTGAATTTGAAAGCACGATATTACAATTGAATTTTTCCAAATGTTTTTAGGTGAAGAATCAAGTATCTGTTTGCATTCTAACAAGCACTGGGAGTTGTGTTCAGTATTTAATAAATTATTAAGGAGTTTTCCTACAAATTGTTTCTTAGTAGCAATTTTCTAGAAAATCAGATAAAGAGCCATGAAAGTCCGGTGATCATAACACTGTAAGAAGAACGAGAACTCCATTTTGCTTCACTGAATCATGCTTTCTTGAGCTATATAATGTGCATCATAGATTATATAAGTAATGCTAATGGTATATAAAATTAAGGGGAAGCATTAGGCAATTTGACTCGTTTCCGATATTCAGCTAGAGCCCAGAGTGGATATATGTTTCTGTAAGCTGCATAATGTAACATACAGTTCTTCATGAAAACACCTGTTATTTCCTGCTGAGGAAAATCTCCGTCTTCAGTCTGTGAGTTTATTAAGAGTTTAGCCGCACGGTGAAGAGGTGTGGGGTCTCTTTCTGCCTGTATAGTGAAGGCAACCACTATTTTAATTTTAATTTTAATTTCCATTAGCGTGGACGTTAATTGGTAGTAAATTTCATCAAGTTTACCAACCTGGCCTGAATGAATGAGACCCATCATAGCCCATGCTGTGTGAACCAAATTGGAGCGGTTACCTTCAAGGGGTACATAATTCTAACAACGCACCCGCCAGTTAGCACAAATAGCAACATATGATTGATTAAATAGAAACTAAATTGTTAAATTTACCTTATTCGGGCAACACAGGTAGCTCTCTCCCCAACCACCATCTGGCATTTGAATTTTTAAAAGGAAATGGACGCCTTTGCGAATGGCTGCACAGTTGTTAAATGTTTTGCCAGCAGCCACCAGACCGCCAAGCGCGAACCAACTACCGTACGTAAAGCAAACACCCCAATTGCCATACCAGGAACCGTCTTGCATTTGTATATCTTGAAGGTAGCGTACCGCATTTTCTATGAAATTGTCAATTTCCTTTGTCCTGTGTGTTGGGTGTAGTTTCTTGAACAATACCAGAGCCTGGATTGCCGATGCAGTGCATTCTACATACTCGTGCTCAATCACTATGTCTGCAAAAAACTCCGTCGGATTCAACATCTGCCACACCACCATACACCATTATTTTCATTTCAAATCCTTGCCTTGGCTTCACATTGTTCCTTTATTGCATTCACACAAACTTTATCATACTTAATTACTTACTTCTAGCCACTCCTGAGCGGTTACTGGTTCCCAGGCTGCCAAACCTCCGTTCTTACTCTGCGTGTAGTGTAATACACAGTATAATCTTTGATTTGGTTATGTTGAGTGCCATATAACTAACTAATCACTATTCTTACCTGCAGAGAAAGTAGGACATTCACGGAATCGTATAAGCTTTGAGCTTCCATTTTATCCCCAACAATCTGTGGCGGCATCATTGAGAAAAGAAGGCAACACTGGAAGCAGATGTTAATTATTATAATGCCGTAAAGCATGTACATTAATTATAACCTTAGTTTTCATACTCAATGCAACCCAAGATAATGCATGTACCTTTAAACCTTCTGCAGTACAATCAGAAACTTGCCATCCATGATCTTGGTCAGAGAAAGTCCAAGACCCTTTCGAAATATGTCGATGCATGCTCTTGAAGTCACCCGAAGGATTGTCCTTCACTTGAGACTTTTTAATGAAGTCATGTCCTCTAGCCAATGTAGGTCCAATTTCATCAGTCATATCAGCCGCAAGCAAAGCTTGGATTGCAAAACCAGTATCCCACTCTTGACTACCAAAACTCTGCATCTTCATACCATCTTCAGCAACCCATATGTAATCCGGGATCCTCGCCAAATGTTTTTTGAAGTAATCCCCATTTGGATCTTCCACCCAACAAGCTAGCATACAGAGCACCTGATTGATACGTTTCCATTACATGGCGTTAAATTAATCTGAGTTGATTATGTAACCATGGTGCATATTGTGTTACCTTCTCGACGCAACCAATGGTAATGTATCGACTGTTCTCATCTTCGTAATGGATGTGCTTCATTGTGGCTTGAAGAGCCTTCTCTCTCACCAACTTCTTCAATGGCCAACGAGTAAGTAGAGGTTCGGTGCAGATGTAAAGGCCGTCCCAAAGTAGATCTTGAATTAAGGGATGCGGGTAGTACAGATCCTCCTGCCCATCCAGATTGATTCACAACATACATATTTCATACGTGTACTTGTACTTCACCTAATATAACTAGTTGCAAACTAAATTATGTTGAATAAAAAAAAAAGAAAAACTACATATACCTTTGCACACTGATGACGGGTTTTCTTCCAGTTGATCTTGTCAAAAGGTTGGGCGTGAAGTTCCTGTCTCAATTCATGTATAAGAGGTGTGATTTGGCAAACAAACCTTTTACCATACAAGTAGGACATGGGCATGTAAACCATTCGACAATAGCACCACATTTTCGCTGCAGAAATTTTCACACATACTAACTAATTATTATTTAATCATCAAGACCACATACGAGACGTTACTGAAGCATGAGCAATAATCAAACCTGGGTGCATTGGCAGAAACGAAGGGAGTATCCAAAACTCTGGCGGCATTGGGTTGCTTCCGGCCCAATCATATACACCAAATATCTATTTTTGTTTTTAATGCGCAATAAGGCAGCATTAGGTAGATTAATTAAGAAAAATAAAGGTGGTAGAAAGGAAAGGAAAGAAAAGGAGTTACGGACCGAGAGCCAAGTCTTTCCCCAAGAGGGTATGTAGGTAACACTACCATGATCAAGAATCCACTTGCGGCCTCTGGCACAAGCATTGTTAAGACCACCATCTGGGCCTTCTCCAAGAATGCGCATACAAATATAGCTGAGAGTGGTGCAGAACATGGTGCTGTGGCCCTCTATATGCAACCCCCACCCACCATCTTCATTTTGATGGTAATATATGTATCTCAGTATTTCTTTCCTATGCTCTTTAGGGAATACTTGGTCCAGATGCCCTGTTATGTATACACACATTACCTGTCCGTGCCAATTTTCCATGCCCTTAGCTTTCATTTCACTTCAATTTCTACATTCTACATTCTACATTCTACATTCTACATATACAACAACGACTACAACATACAGTCTACAGGACAGAATTAATTTGTATTGCTCACCAGTGGTGGAAGGAAGAACAAAGGACCCGCATTTTCAGCTGGCCAGTGTCCGTCAGTTGCCTGCAACGCTGAGTAGAAGTGAACCGCTCTTCTCAACGCACGCCTCGCCTTCTCTTGTGTTATTTCCTCCCCCTCCTCTATCTTTACTGCACCAATTTCTTGTTCGAAATTTTTCTCCTTCAGGAACTATAATACAATACAGAAAAATTGTTCAAATCCATTTTATCATCATCACTCCATCTTAGCTTAAATATTAAACAAAACTCCCAACGTCCCTTCCAAATTATCAGTCCCTTTTATCTTTCACAACTTTTCAATACTCACAATCATGACACTAACTTGTCCAAAATAAGTTCAACAAATTTTCTATTCAAATCTCAACACCTGGGACAAAATGGATGGATACTGGTCTACTTTCTTTCGCTCGATTCCAGAAATTCTCAACGTCTCCCGCGTGCACAACCTTCCACCCACCTAGCCCCTATTCCTACCCTCCTTACGGCTTACATTCAATCTTTTTCTATTTAATTTGAATTTATAAATGATTTACGTTTATTTTACCTCTTTAATGCTAATCAGAATAAAGAAACCTCTCGCAAATAAAATAAAGTTGTTCAGGGAAACCAGTGAGGTGCATAACAAATGTAATCTGATGTCTGATTCGATGCATTTTTTTTTTATGTTCTCTAATCATTAGGAAAAGTAAAACTTCACTGATGTTTTTTTAAACAACTTCACTGATTTAATCAATAAGTTAACTCTGTTTTTATTACATTGTAACTGTTAGGCTCCATACGTCCTATAACTTATAACTCGGTATATTACTCCATCCCTGTTTATCCTGTTTTGGTAATTGAGTGAAGAGTACATTTAAAAAGAAGAAGAAAAATTGAATAGATAGTAAATTTTGCAATATTATAGTTTGATCGATGAAATTGAAAATTTTGCGTGAAAATGATAGCAACTCAAAAGTTTAAAAATATGTTAAAGTGAACATAGTTCAATGGTAATTGGCATATATCTTCAACCACGAAATATGGAGAAAATAATAACGCAAGAGTTCAAATACATAATGTCCCTTCTGATACCATATTAAAAACGAATAAACTACCACTCAACCCAAAGCTATCCCTTTAAAACTTTGTTTATTTATTTATCGTACTACTAATATTAAATGTTATAATAATAATAATATATATGGTATTTTTATATTAATGATGGCTATCTAATATAAATTATTAGTTTTTGGTTGATGTTATTTTATTTTAATTGTGTATTATTTTATAGTATTAAGTAAAGAGTAATTGTAATGGGTAGCAAAAATATTTTATATATTTCAAAAAATGTCACCAGCCTTTTAAAATTTTAAATATAACAAAATATTTGAATTTTTATTTTCGGAATTTTTATTATTCCAATTTTACCCTTATAATATCTAATATATATCTGGTGTATATCTATATCTAATATACATCCAATYTATATCTAATGTACATCTGACGTAACTCTGATGTACTTATGATATATATTCGATGTACTTCTAATATACAGTATCAGATGTACCTACGATATACATTATCAAATATACCATTGATATACATTAAATGTACGTATTATACACATAATATATATATCTGATGTATTTCTAATTTATGATATACTAAATATATTTTCAACTTATATACTAAATATATTTGCAATTGATATACTAAATATAAGGTATATCGGCTGTTTAAATTCCAGTTTACCATTTCAATTTGTTGATTAATATACTAATATTATCAATAATGTTGATAACTACATCACTACTATTTATTTAATATTAATATTAATTAGATACTAAATATAAGAGATATCAACTATTTAAATTTATAAAGTATATCAAAAATTAAACTTGTCTTTTTGGACGTGCATGATCCACATAAACCTTGTATATAATAATTTTATATTTCAAAAATAAAAAATAAAAAATTTTGCACCATTGTTTTCATCTGAAACTTTTTTTTTTGGATATAACAGTATTATATCAACACACATGTATCATAGTTATATTAGTATATATAATGGTTATATCATAGGTATATAAGTGGTAAATTAGAAGCATATTAAGTATATATCAAATATATATCGGTGTTATATTAGTGGTAAATCATGTTTATATCAATAGATACTATAGTTATATTAGTAGTATATCATGTGTATATCAGTGGTAGATACATATCACATATATATGTGTTTGTATCAACGTGGTAAATCAATGGTTATCATATGTACATCAGTGGTAAGACATGTTAGAAGTTGAGTAGATATCATGGTTATACCAGAAGTAAATCAATTGAATATCATTATTATATCAAGGTATATCAGAGATATATATCAGTGGTCAGATATATTACAGATATATATCTGATATATTAAAGGGTGAATTTGTAATTTTATAATTGGACCTCCATTTTTTCTAAATGCTATATTTGAAAAAACTAGATGTGGTTACTATTTTACTTATTTTACTAAAATTTTTTGACATATTTATAAGTGTCCCTTAAATAAATGGTTAAATAAAAACTATTTCTTTTTTTTATAAACAATAAAAACTATTACTTTTTGTAATAAAATAAAAATTATTGTAATTAAATATAATATTAATATTAAATTTAATTAATGTATTTATAATGAGTTAGAAATAAAAAAAATAGTATTTCAATAATTATAATTATTATATGTATGATTTATATTTAGATAGTTTAGACATTATCAATAGGTTTCTTATTCATATTCCTTTTCATGGTAAACAACATCACATTGATTTTTATTTCAATACTGGGTATGTAAACCAGCATAATTTTCCCAAAAGTCATCCTTCATATGTATAAAATTTGAAATTATTTTTTTAATACATGATTGATATCCTTTAAAAAATGAGATAACATATTTTAAATTAAAAATTGACATCATATACAAATTCAAATATTAAATTAGAGTTTCGAACCATGTTTTTATAGATTAACAAGAAAACAAGAATGTTAATTAATAAAGCTAATTTCTAACACTAAAAAAAAACTTGATGTTTTGTTTTATAGTTTTAGAATATATATATATATATATATAACTTTAAAAGTATAATTGAATTTTTTGAAAAGTATGTATTGATATAAGAAAAGGAAATTCAGAACAAAAGTAAAATAGTCCACCAAAGAGGGGAAAAAGAAAACCACTTAGTAAAAAAGTGTACCCAAAAAAAATTTTTCAGGTCCAGTAATATGGTAAGTTTTGTCCTTCCGAAGATGGAGAGCGGTGGTCGGTGGACTAGGATAAGAAAAATTTATTGAACGAGGTTTGAGAGTTTATAAAAGAATTATGAAAAAAATAGTAAGAAGGTGGTTCTCGCTCGCTCCATCTACTTTGTCTTTTAGATAAGGCGCGCTGCTGTCCATTAATATGGTTGACGGTTTTTCTTCTTTTTAATTATAAAATATTGAATTTAGTGAAGATATATTTCAAACTTTCATCAAATTCTATCCTATAAATAACATATTTTCTTTCCGTCTTCAGAAAAGAATTTCCGAAGATGGTAAAAAATAATTGTTATTTACAGTTGTATATTCGATAGAATTCGTTGAAGAAGATTTTTTATTTTATTTTTTTATCTGAAAAAACGTTAAAGATTTTTTTTTACTCTTTTATTTCAAGATTTAAAGGAGAGAATTGAGAATTTAAAATTCTATTCGATAACATTTTCATTCTTTTTTTTCCTCTAAAATGCATTTCTAGAATTGGATATAAATTTTAGAATCAACAAAATCAAATTCTTTATTTCTTATTTGTTTGTTTTAAATTTTTTTAAACATAAATAAAAGTATTATTGTATTATTATTGATTTGTGCATAAACAGTTTAAATAGTTAATTAGAAAGATGAGTTCATAAGCTTTTATTTTATTAATTTAAAATTTCCAACATACTGTAAATTGTGACGCGAAACAGGTAGTAGATTCTTTAGAGGCCTCGTATGTTTGGAGGTTTTAACTTTTATCTATAAATAAATTTTCTAACGTTGATAGGTGAACACATAATAAATGCGAATGGTAATAATTTTTTAATACTGATGAATCCTACCTCATTGCTGAGGTGTCATGTAATAAATAACAGTACTACCAATAGTAGTAAATTTTCCGGATTTGGCGTGAATGGAATGGAAGGTTAAAGAAGAAAGTATTAATTTGTTTACCTGCATTCGCCAGAGGAGGTCGGCACTAGGCTTCACTTTGTAGCGGGAGTTATAGAAATTAAGGCGAGCCTGTTCCACTTCCTCTCTCTCTTCGGGCGTACCTGCTTGTGGATCGAATTCCCAAATCTGTCTTCCGACGAAGTCATTTGTGGAGTAGATGTAGGGATCATTCCCTCCATCTGCAATCTTAAGCCGCCACATATTTATTCTTCTGTCTCAGCTAGCTAGCTGTTCGTATGTCGAGAAGAACGGTTATTTGTGAGCTAAGCAAAGCGAACTAATTTACCCATTTTCCCCAGCAAATTAGTAATGTTTACAAACACGCACACAAGGAAATTTGAGATGAAAATGGGACGATACCGCGCGCGCTCGTGGAATGGAAAGAGGCAGGAGCCGGGTACCGGTGCTGACTGCCGAGTGACACGGTGCTTAATTTAACAATGAAGGGATGAGTTTGGAGAAAATAAAGATGGAGGAGGCGAAGGAAAAGAGATCTCGGTGTAGGCCGACCGTGTTGAGAGAAGGCAAGGGTTTTGGCGACATCTGTGACTCTAATCAGCGGCTGCACAAGTTGTGTGTTTCTCGTAGCTGGCCCATAAATATGTGTAATAACACTGCCCACTCCACTCGCGCTCCAACCCAAAAAACAACAATAAGAAATAAACAAAAAAATACCTTTATTTATTATTATTATTATTATGACGACCTTAACCCTACCCTTATATTGGCAAATCACCCTCATTTTTAAACACTCCCTTGCCCTTACATTGTGCTCTCAAAATTTTTATTTTGTTAATAATCCTTCTAAATTTATATAATAATCCCTATAAAACTTGATTGCGTGTTAAAATTCAACATTTTCATTATAGCCTAAGTGCCTGAGGCCTGTTTGGTAGATAATTAAAATTGTGTATTTATTTTTTCATTCACTAAATCAATTTGTTTTTGAATTGATTTAGTGAATATGTGTTCAGTATAATTGTTTTCTAAAACGGTTTCTCAATTATATGATCCAAACAATAGAAAATTTGAAAACAAAAGTTTTTAGCATTTCTAGATTCTGAATTTGAAATTTTAAAAGGTAGAATTACATTAAAATATAAAATATTTGAGAAATATAATATTTTATGTTATAAATTCATTTCATTTTTGTTAAAATTAAAATATGTAAAATAGAATACATTATAAATTATATAATATTGTAAAATAATAATTATATCAAATTTATAACATATATGTTAATAAATTAATTAATAATATTTTAGATTCAACTAAATATTAATTGATAATCACCCTACCCTACAAATATATTATTAAACATACTGAACAATTTTTAAATTGAGATTCAATTTTCAAATTTGCTACAAAACATGTAATCGAAAACTGATTTGAAAACACGATGTAAGCTTTTAAAGTAGTGTTTAATAGATTATAAACTTTAAAAGGTATCTAATAGTTTTCTCAGATTTTAATTTTATGTCTAATAGATTTTATGTCTCTACACTTTTAATCTTATGTCTAAAAATCTCTTAGTTTCAATTTTGTATCTAATAAATCTTTGATTTTTTCGACATTTTTTAAAACTGAACTCATTAGATACAAAATTTACTAACATCTTGAAAATTCAATTATGTGCCTATAGGTCCATAAATTTTAAAAATATTTAATAAGTCAATAATATAGTAAACACAAAATTTAAAATTTAAGAACTTATTTAAAAATTTTTAAAGTTAGACACAAAATCTACAATTTCGTGCTTAATAAACACTTTTAAAATTTAACAACTTATTATATACAACCTTGAAAGTTGAGAACTTGTTACTTTTATCTTTCATTATTATGCTAAATCTCATTCATTTATTTCTTGAGATCGTACCCTTTTACCTTATAAGAACACACTAAATACCAATAAATAATTTTTTAAAACATTATTATATACTTATACTAAAGTTTTCAGGAAAAGAAATTAATTTATGATTTAGAGTTTTAATTAATGAAATTATTAGTTTAGGATTTTAATTGACTACAACCTATAAGTTTGATTTTTTTCCCATTATTTTTTATATAAAAAACAATTTTAAAAACAATTCATTTTCAAACAATCCCTTAATTATTAAAATAAAATTTAAATTGAGTTCTTTTAACTTTAATTTGATCTTTATGATTTTAAAATTTTCAATTAGTCTCTATAATACTCGAGCTTAATTTCAATTCGATATCTATAATTTAGTTAAATCTCATAGGTCGTTCCTAAATTATATTTAAACCACTCGAAAAACCTATTTATTTTCTTTTATTTTTACTCAACTTAAACCCTAATACACTCTACTAACACAATTATTTAGATAGAAAACTGTTATGTGAAAAAAAAAATAATGAACAATTTATGAAGTTTGACTGAATTTAGAACTAAATCAAAACTATAGAGATCGAATTAAAATTAAACCTAACTATAATATAGGGACTAAATTCAAACTTTATCTAAATTATAAAGAACAAAACTGAAAACTTTCCAAATAATAGAGATCAAATTTATAATTCTCAAGTAATGAATATTGTTTCGATCAGAAAAAAAAGTAATTAATATTGTTTCATAAAGTTTCGTGATTGTCTGTTTATAATGAAAATATATCACTGGATTGTGGCTGTCTATATGCATGCTGGGAGTCACGTTTTCCATGGGATAAACATGGTTGTACCTCGTAGATCGCATGACTAACACATGGGTCGAAATTATATATAAATATAAAAAAATATATATATATATATAATAGTCACGGTTGCCTTGCCACTTGCCAATAAAAAGACGTGAACAAAAGAATTCAAACTGAAAAGTTGTTAAATGACAAGTCACGGAATTATTTTAAATTAATGGCAAAACTATTGTTAAATTCAGGACCAATTATTTACTATAATAGATGGGATGGGAATCGAACTCACAAACTTGAGATATACGTTGTTGAGTTATATTTACTTTGGCTATTCAGACAAAGCAAAGTATAAGTTTACCTATATTTAAAAATTAAATTAAGAAAAGATGTCACATATTTTTCTTACAGCGAGCACAATCTAATTGATTGGTTCATAATGATGGTGCTCAAATTCACGTAGGCCTAGATATCCAAAGGAAGAAATTGGACTCAATTCCATGTAACACAAGCTAGTAGAGGGATTTGGTTTACCTCGAACAAGTTCAAGTTCAAGGGCATAGTCTAAATAAACCAAGCTCAAGTTAACCTATCACGTCACATCTTTTACCGTCCAAAATTATATAGAGAGCCATCTAAAATTATTAATCAAGACTTCAAAAATTAAAACATTTCTTAGAAGTCGAAACTTATAGAAAATAGAAGTAAAAATGTTAAATTACTTAGGACTTATTTGGTATGCAATCCGAATATTGTTTTTTGTTTTTGAATTTTTTGAATCAAATGGTGACAGGTTTTTAAAATTTTCTTTTAGATTATGTTATTCAAATAGTGTAAATTTTGAAAATAGTGTTTTTTTTTAATTTTTAATTTAAAACTTCTAAAATGAGGAATTATATTTAAAAAGATAAAAAAAAAWTTTTGGATAAATATACTATTTCATATTATAAACTTATTTATTTTTGTTAAAATTAAAGAAGGTAAAATATGATATATTATAAATTATATAATATTGTAAAACAATAACTTGTTAATAAATTAATTAATATTATTTTAGGTGGGACTAAATATTTTAATTGGTGATTAGTTTTACAAATATATTATTAAATATTTCGAATAATTTTTTAAATTGGGATTCAATTTTCAAACCTTCTATCAAACACATGAAAATAATGAAAATAAAGTATTGAATCTCTTATTTTCAAATTTGTGCTTTCAGATCAACCTGTCGCTGAAGTCACCCATACGCTCGAACGACCTTTAATGGAATGGGTACTCGAGACCGCCTCACCCTAAGCAGACACTAGTGGAATCAACCATAAGGCACCCATTTACTGATTGGTCGAAGATTGGTGACTGCAAGAAAAGGGCCTAGCTAAGGCGCCAACTATTTAGTCATATTCATGCCCTTCTCCCAAGAGTGGAAGAAAAGGCTACCAACTGGGCCTACTTTGACTACGCTATTCTTCCCATTTCGAAAAAAGAAGAAGGGGAACCTCTAGAACCTGACAAAGTCGACAACAAATTCAATAGCTGGGGATCTTCCTATCAATGAAACTCCTAACCAACAGATTTGTTCAAAAGAGCATTTCACCGACCAAAATGTAACCTTAAATTTCCTTCTAATTTTTATTCTCTTCCATTTTCTTTTTATTTTTTATTTTTTATTTTTTAAAATTATTATTATTATTATTATTTAATAGAACAAAAACCCAGTATTTGCTTATGTATAATGGGAGCAAGTTAATTGAAATTTTGAATCTTGTTTCAATTAATTTTTCAGGAGGGATTCCGGACTCCATTGGTTATAATGTCAAATCCTTGAAATCTCTAGATCTTCATTCATGCAAGTTCAACAGAGAAATTCCAGAGAAAATAAGAAATATTACACTGCTCAATACCATTGATCTCTAAAGTTCAATGGTCAGCTGCCCAATACATGGAATAACCTTCAAAAGTTAACTAATTTCCAAATCCACATGAATTCTTTCATGGATCAACTACCCGATTTTCTTTTCAACCTCACCCAACCCTCCAGCTTGACTACATCTAATTTGTTTTCGAGTCTTTTACCCATGAATGTTTCTGCAGATAGGCTTTCAAATCTTATTCATTTGAACTTTGGAACGTAACTCACTCATTGGTTTCGTACTCTCTTGGCTATTTTCATTACCTCGCTTAATTTTTTTGGATCTCTCTAATAACTATTTCACTCGTGTTATAAAAGATTTTAATCCAACTCACTACAATTTCTTAATTTAAGTGAAAAAGTTGCAAGGTTTAAAACCTTTGAGTCTATTTATAGACAAGTGAATCTTACATCTTTGACATTGGGGTTGAATAATTTTAACAAGGTTGTTCTGAATTTAGTCATGTTGAAAATTGAGAGTCTAAAATAGCTTGACGACATTTTCAAAAATCACCAGCTTTCAATAAATTCTACCAACGTTAGCTCTATGGATCTTGTTCACATTGAAATGGTTCCCACAAATTAGCAAAATTTCCCCACTTTTTTAGATATCAAAAGAACTTGAATCATCTAGGCCTTTCAAATAGTAGAATTCAAGGGGAAATTTTCAAGTGGTTCTCTGGATTGGGTGGTTTGAATCACATCAATCTTTCTCATAACTTTTCGTCCTCTGGAATAGATGTTCTCTTCTCTAACTCTAAACCAACCACAACCAGAAAAATGAGTTTTAGAGACACGTAAAAGATGTCACTGAAAACCTAATTTTGTCACTAAAAGTTTCAGCGACGAAACCACGTTCATCGCAGAAAACTCGTCGTTTAAAGTTTCAGCGACACGGCCTTGATGTCGCTAAAACTGATAGTCAGCGACAAGGACCGGTGTCGCTGAAAACTATTTTCAGCGACATCATATGATGTCGTTGAAAATTATATGTAGCGACATTTACGTATGTCGCTGAAAACAGTTTT